TAGTCAGAAAATGGATATATTTCTCAGAGTATTTGTCCTGTTACGCTTGGTCCTGGTCAAACACTTTTATTCAAAATAAAATGCAATTATTAACTAACTATAGTTTGGTTGACTCTTCCTAGTATATGAGATATTTAAATAAGTTATCCGTTGCGAAGAACGGTAAAATGCATTATATTAATAAATAATTATATAATGCTTACTATATATTATATAAATTTTGAAGCCTAAGATAAGTTTTAAGCTTTATAACATAGAGTAGATGATATTATCTTAATAGACTTTAATCAAAATGTAATGAATTAATGCAATTAGCATAATGATAGTTATTTTGGTCAGATCAAATCCAAAAAATGGCTAACAATATATTCTTTTTAAATGTTTCAGCTTATTTTCCATTTACAGGTTGATTAAGCGCAAGGCTCTGCATATGGTGTGATCTGTATTTTTGAAAAGGATTACGGATGGTTCAACTTCTGAAATAAAATATATGGAGATAAATGACTTACAATACATCTACCATGGTAGTAAACATTATGATGATAAAAGTACCATTTGTTTTATTATTAATGATTATGTACTTACTGGATATATATATATATATATATATGTATATGATATATATATATTATATATATTATATGTATATATATTATATATATATATGAATATATATCTTCTATTATATATATATATATACTATATGTATGTATAGGACTACTATCATTAATTTGAGATTACAATTGTTTAAAGAGAATGAGTTAAAAAAATTAGAGAAAACTTAAAATATGGCTATCTCAACCTTTCACTTATTGGATGTAGAATCCCATATTTGATTTTGGAAAAAACTTTATTGAACAATGTACAAGTTTTTAACTTGCAATTTTTTGAATTACATACATTAAGTTTTTAACTTGCAGTTTTCAACACATATTACTTAATTATATAATTGCAAATTTTTCAAATTGTTTGTTCTATTTTTCTTACATGAGTTGTTTAAAATGGTGGAAGTATTTTTGTAACTTATATTAAGTCATTTGAGTATAACATTGCAAATATAGACACTCGTTCTTACTACAAATTTTAGAAATATGAGATCTCACCTTTATAATATTTATAATATTTAAGTGTTTAGTATAAATTTTTATTTATTATATTATAATAAATTTTAATACTATACCAAGTGAGGACGTTAGACATTAATCTCAACTCTAAATCCCAAATCAAAGTACAAAATTGTGCAATTTTAAATCATAAAAGTAAAAAAAAAAAGTAATCGGATAGAAAAATATAGAGTCACGTAATTTTAAACAAATATATCAAATTACAAATGCAAATTAAATAACACATGTATAAAAAATTACATCTGTTTATTTTAAATTTAACCTGAAAATGAACAATATATACCAAGAGTTACTCCATAAAAATAATTTAGATTTAATTTAGTTTTAAGTTTTGGATATTTTTAAAATTGAATTTCTATTATTATTTTTTGATTATTAGTTTCTAAAGAATTATATACTTTTTGAGTTTCTATCTTTTAATTTTGTTCATTAACTAACGTTATTTTACTATATTATTTTTCATGATTGTTCGTTGGTCATTAGAAGATATAAAATTTTGTGATTAATATAAAAATAGAATTGTAATTAATGTAAAAATAATTTATTTTTATTACTTTCACTGAAAACTTGTTTGATAACAAACAACATTGTTGAACCGTCCTTATTTTTAATATATTTTTAATAAAAATAATAAAGTCATACATCATTTTATAATATCATAATGTCATTTTATACTAACAATAAAACTTCATATTTTTTAACAAAAAAATGATAAGATAAAAAAAATAGGTCAACTTAGTTAACTAAATAATTAAAAGATGACATCTAGAAAATATGAAAATTTTAAATATAATATATAAAAAATTAGTAAAAACTCAATAAAAAATACATAAATATAAAATGACTTAAAATTTAATTAAGTTAACAAATAATAATAATATTATCATTTTAATTAGTAGAAAATTAAAATTTAATAAAAGAACCTTTAATCCAATTGTTGAATTGATAAGTTTAAATTTTTTATAGTCATTAAAAGTTTAGCGAACTTTTTTTTAATAAACTATGACATTTATTTGCATTTTACAAAGTTTTGGATACATCCTATTGCAAATGCACCTTATCACATTTTTATGCAATTTTTTGTTTTTTGAATTTTTTTTTCTCGTCTTTAAAGAAAACGTAACTATTGTTAGAGAACATACTGTGTGCAGAAAACTTTAAGCAAAACATAATATAAAAAACTAGTCACTTTTGAGGTAACGAACCAAGTAACTCTGATATATAACTCTGATACAGCGCATTCTTTTATAGTATTTTTTTTTCTTCTAAGAAGGATATTTTTTAAAAATTATTAGAACAAATTTGATTAACTTCATAATTTGTTATGCATAATTGTATAACAATTTTAATCTGGCGTGTTGGCCACAATTTTTCTTAAAGCAAGTGGACATTTTGCAAATTGTGATTTGCATTTGTTAAAAGAGTCAACTAGTTAACATTCAAAGACTTGTATATTTAATATTATCTAACCTTCCCAACTTTTTCTTTATTCTCTCTTTCTCATTAACCAAGTGTCTACAGAACATTTTCTATTTTACTTAAATACAATTTTAGATTCATTATTTTTCTTAACTCACCATTTAATTCTCTCCAATTTAAAATAAAAACATTTTCTCTTTTTATTTTAGAAAACTTAAAATTGTAATATAATTTCTAGTTTTATATAATAAATTGTTTTGATTCAATAAATTCTTAAAATTAACACATGTATTTAAATTTTAATTAATAAGAGTGTAAAATTATAATTACATGAAAAATGAAGAATTGAATTGTAAAACAAACTAATAAGGATTAATGTTTTAGATGTTTTGAACATGTTTTTTAATTTAAAGTCAATCTATATAAAAGTAATAGAGGTAGAAATTATATTCATTTAAAAGCTTGGGACAAATTTAAGAAAAGAGACAAACATGGACATCTGTTACACAAAGATTGATTAGTAAACTATCTCTATCAGAACATAAATATTCATGGATTGGAAGAAAGTTATGTTTCCTAAAATTTTTGTTGTTAGATCCTCCCTATATTTTGTATCTTTATTTGTAAGTTAACAAAAGCAAGACGATTAAATGTATTGAAAAATAATTTCTTGTGGATAAAGGAGGAGGAGGTAAGGAAAATAGTTTTGGTAAATTGGGAGATAAAAAAAGAAGAATTATTGAAAATAAAAAACATGTGTCTTTTTAACATTTTTTTAAATGAAGGTAGAAATGATGATAGAGTGAAATATAGATTTTACTTGAACTAATTACAACCACCATAGTTAGTGAGTCCTTAGAGTGATAAAATCAATGGACATGTAAAAGAGACAAATTTATCTTATATATACTTACTAAAGCTTCCTTATGAAAAATTAGATCAAATTCAAAACATTGTTGTCAAGATCCAAACATTTCTCTTTCAACTTTCTGGAACAGTAAGATATATCATTGTTTTTATATTCAATAACCAATCATTGTTAATTATAAAAGTGTATTTTAAATGAGTTTAGGTAACTGTTATACTTGCGTACTATAATTATAAATAGACTAAATTTTTTTAGTTATGGTAAATTATTGTATTTTTTTTTTGCAATATTTTATTCATATTTAATTTTTTATGCAATGAATAAATCTACCACACATTCTCTGTCCCCATATAGAAACAATTTTTTATTCTGAATTCATTCACAGACTGAACGGAATGAACCTTAACGCAACATGTGTGGAAATAAATTGTCCTACAATGTTAAGGTTTTTAGATGCATACACATAAAGATTGTTAACTCTTCACCTAACCCTCTTTGATCCAAATGAATAAAGAAAATTACAGTATGTGACGTGTGCAGCGTATTTGAAAAATCTACGAGTGAGGTTGATGGCAAACATTAAAAACTAGGACTCTGCGGAAGTTGAACAAAACCATGATCACCGGGCCACCATGTAAGCTTTATGGCCATGTACGCTATAAGCAACAGTACTTCATAACGCGTCTTTTTCGAAATAACACCTTTGTGGACAAGATTCCCATTTCCAACACCGATGTAGGATCATGCAAGACTCATTGGAGAGTGTTGACTACCAAATTATTTTCAACTCAAACAAATTAGGGTATATACTAATGCAACAGTAATTTCATCAATAATAAATCAGAACGTCCACTGTATATTATTTTTTCTTACTACAAGTAAGAATTATGACTCAAATAAACTACTTCCAACTCATGTATTAATCAGAATCAATTCTACATTACTTCTGAACAAATGGAATGAAAATGTTGATCTCGAACCCTAGGAAAATTATCTTTGTTTGCAGTTTTAAAGCTCAATGGTGAGACTGGGAGAGCAGAAAGGTTCAGCTGCACAATTCTACCTTGTTTTAGTATGTTGCAGAGTCAACAAGAGAAGCATTTTAGCTAAAATATGTGCTTTACAAAGTTGAATCCGATTTATGAAAGGTTTGAAGAGATATATTAGAGATCTGTTGCATGGTTTTAAATGATTAGCCGTTATTCATCTCATCAAATGTTAAAATATGTTGGGAGGTTTTCTTCGCGCCATTTGGATGTTGGATCGACCTGCATCTAACCTCTGCAATGGATAAACAGTAGCAGCTGGCTATCTTTTGGGTAGGATAGCACCGGATAGAACTGCATTATTAGTTACAGTACCACTATGCATAGCTCCTGTTACAGAGGAAACTGCAGACATTACTAAATAAACCATGACTCCATTCCATGGTTTGTGCCAAACCGGCATCGTGTCCCAAACATACACATTGGAAAGGGGAAAAAACCTTAATAAGGAGAAACAGCATCCATCTCAATCTCACAAGCACGGCCATATTCAAACAGTGTGACCAAAAATAATCAGAAAGAAGGGTTCAGTAAACTACCATATCAGAAAATAAGCTCCATAATCTAGAATTTCAAATTAAAGTTTAAAGTTCCAACAATATAACTTCATCCTTGAAGCTACATACAGCCTCAAAAGTAAAGTAGTAAACCATATGTGATTTGGAACAATCATCTCTGTTCAGAGTATTATTCTATAAACAAAAGAATGAAACTATATTTCTGAAGTAGAAAAGCAACATTGAAATCAACAAAGGCAAGCATCAACTGCTCCTGGGAAACACCACCAATTCCATCCATCCATGAAATCCCCCATCAGCCTCATATGCATCCTCCGCAGCCAACATCAAAATGCCTTTCGCCAACCTCAATGCTACCTCTGCCAAATCAAACCCCACACACAAAATACAAATCACAATCCAATCAATCTAACTAGCAAAGTTATTAAAGCAAACAGAAAACAGAAAAACTTTGTAAAAGAATTATGCATACCTTGCCAGTCTCAGCTTCATCAGGAACCTTGTAGCAATCAGCACTAACCTCCGACAACCACTGACCAGGGAAAAGGGTCTGCACAACAACACCAAACTCAAGAGCTGTTTTTTCTTTTGTTTCCGACACACACAACATAAAGAATGATATGGAATAACATAACGTAACGAATTGATCAGCTTACATCCAATTGTTTCTGAGCGTTTCTGGGTCGCTTCTTGGGCCGGCGGGGAGGCCGGTGGCCCACCAAATTCATGAAATCCTCCTCAATCTCCTTCTTCGTCAGCGTCAGAGAAAACTTCAGTGGTCGCTCCTCTTTCTCCGGCGACCCTCTTAATTTCGGCGACTTTCCGGCGCCGGGGACACTCCTCAACGGCGAAAACGACGTCCCGACCCCGGCCTTCCTCTCGTCAATCCTGACCGTCACGGGAGCCCGCCGCGTCCGCAGATTCCACGTCCTTACTCCGGTGGCCGACGGCTGCGCCTCCTCTTCAACCGCCACCGTCACGGGCGGCGCGTCCTCGATGATAACATCATTGTCCTCGGCGACCTCCTTGCCGAGAATCGCGTCCTTCATCCTATCGGCCTCGGTTTTGAGATCGAGCATGAGCTTCTCCCTGACGGCGTCGATCCCCTCGTCGCCGAGGAATCGCGGCCGCTTGAGACGCAGTCGCGAGTCAGCATTTACCGGCGGTGGGGGGTCGAATTCCCGCGGCGCCGGAGATCGGCGATCTCCGGTGTCAGTGGAGGAGTCAGAGGCGAGTTTGGTGCAGCGGAGGTGGCGCTGACTCCCCCACTTCAAACAGGGCAACATGAAATTGTGAAGAGGTTTCGATCTCTCGGGTCCCATGGCCATGCTCTCTCCTTCCCCAGAACACGTAAACACCATTTAATCCAAACACAGCCCCAAAAGAAAAGAAAAAAACAGCGTCAAGTGTATTGCTTTTCTTCTTCTTCTTCTTCAGCAGAGCCCAAACGAGAACTTCCGAAGCTGAGAAATTGAACCCACGAGAAAGACGCAAGCTTTTGGCTTGGGTTTCGCACTTTTGCGACTTTCGCTTCGTTGCATACTCGCCGGGAAACGCAAGCTCTTTATTTATAACTCAGAAACAAAGAAAGAACGAAGCGAGGCGGTTTTAACGTTCGGGTTCGCCTTCTAGGCTCAACGCTAACCTGCGCCTCGAGGGGTTGCCTGCTTATACTTACCTCCTTTTTTTCCTTTCTTTTTTTTTTCCTTTTTTCCCGGGTTAAATACCTCGTTTTTTTTAACTAACGCTGCGCCGTTCATTTTCGCGATTTCGAAAAGGGATGATTCGATCGAGGCCGTTCATTTTTGTTTCGGTATTTTGGATTAAAATTTGATTTCCGTGTGGTGCTAGGTCAACCGGACCATTGATTTTGGGTTCTTGGTGGTCAAGGATTTGAAAGGATGAGGATTAATATACCATCAAGAACATTATCTTTTTCTTTTGTTAGTTAATAATTTTACATTTTAATCGTTTTGAGTGAAATAGATAGAATGTATTTTGGTTCGTGTGAGATGGATCCACTTCGTTTATAATTTCAATCAAATAAGATAAAATGCTTTTTTTTTTACTAAAAGATAAAATCTTATTTCAAGAATATATGACTTCAATAGATTGATAGGTTGTTACCGTATTTTAATTGAATTTTAAATACCAATTATTCGCATCTTGAAATATAGCCATAAATTTTATTGTTTGAAATTCAATTTTAAATAAAACTAAATTATAAATAAATTGTGTTTTTTTTCCTGTGTACGTAAAGTAGCATTGATGAAGATCAAATGTATTTCGTGTATTTAAATGTGAAAGAAAAATGACGTTTGTAGTGTAAAAAAGCTATAATTTTAGTAATGGATAGGAACATTGTAAAGACAATTTTTCGAGTAAGGACTAAACATATATAGTTTTTTAATGTCGATTAACGTACAAAAATAATACTTAAAATTTTAACTTAATTACTTTTTCATACATTTTCTTATAAAGTTTAAGAGAGCCTGTTATTTTAGACACAAATTTTCAATAAAATGATTTGAAATAATAAACATCCTATCATGACTATTATTTTTAAGGAATCTTATCATAATTATTATAATTTAAAACCAAATATTTCTCATTATAACATATCTTTAAATAGGTTAACAATTCAAAAAATCATTTTATGTATTCATAAAATAAAATTTTGTACGGTATGAGAACGAGAATACGATGGTTTAATCATTAAATTGGTGCGTTCTTTTAGAAATTTATAAGATAAATTGTTTAAAAGAGGTATCCAAATGAGCATGTGATGCTTTAAAATCTAAATTCATAAGAAAATGTCTAGTTCTAATATAAGGTGTTAAATTATAATAACTTTTTAATATATGTGAAGAAGTTATGAAGCACCAGGTCAGTCTCAAATAATATTTTTTTAAATATAGAATTTACATGTGTGATGATATAAAATTTTGTTATCTATATATATCTTTTAGATACCAATCTGGAGTTTTTTTCTGCAATAATTCTTTCTCTCATTCCCTTTTTAATATATATGTTATTATTCTTCTGAAGTAACTTTATAATTTTATTTTATTTTTTGTATTAGATAAGTAGCATTTTGATAATTTCTAAAGTCATTTTTTTACAATCACATTTAAAAAACACTGATATTTGTTTAAACTTCTAAAAATTGTGGGAAAGTTGTTCCCTTACTTTTGACGTTCTTTTGGTAGTAAAGGAAGCATATGATTAAGTTGTGCACCTTAGGTCAAAGCATTCAAAAGTGACCTATTTAATCATTTCCATGTGATTCCATGATCCATCAAATTTAACATAATCAAGGTGTCACTGTTGGAAATCTCGTGGAGGCTTGAGAAAATATATACTGGAAAATATAGTGAGATTAAAATAAAATGAATAGAAAAAGGATAAAAAATAAAATAAACATTAAAAGAGAAAAGAGAGAGAAAATTTAAAATAAAATAAATAGTATAGTATAAATAAGTAAAATATTAAAAAGTAAAGAAATAAATATAAACATAGGAATATAAAATAAACAGAATGACAAAGGGATAAAAATACGAATAGAAACAGATAAAACTATGAGGAGATAGTTGAACAGTTAAAGTTTACTGTGAGAGAAGTTGTAATTACAGACAAAATTTTTAAAATCTTAAGCAATTCAAACTAAATAAATTGGTTTTTATCTCAATTTAATGCTAATCACAATCAAATAACTAACTTAATCATTCAAGGGTTTGATTGATTTTGTGGTTAAATCAATATAAAATTTCATTATGTAGTATATTTTTCTCCTAGAATCTTATTTAGTTTATATTCACTTTTCAGCGGTTTTTGGCTTCTTGAATAATTATTGTTTATATGAGCTGTTGGAAAAAATATTTAAAGAATCCTTTTTAAAAAATATTTCTATAAATTATTGTGATAAAATCTTCTTGTGGAAAAGACTGAAGGTAGCTTAACTGGTTAATGAGTGTTTTTTGCTAGTTTACAAGTAAATAAAAACAAATTTTTAAGTCTAAATATCAAATTAAAAAAAGTTAGCTAGAGAATTATATATATATATATATATATATA